TACTTACTACATCATTTCTGTCAAATAAAACTCAATCAAGATATTGAAGTATTAGAACTTTTATTTTAAAATATCGATAAAATAAAATAGACATTCTTATACATTGCAAACAATATTATAACATTGTAGATATATAGAAACCATGTAAGAATCTACTAAATGAATCCAAATTTAATATTACAAATAAGACAAAAGTTTGACTTATCCTAAAAAGATTGATTATCTATAGGTAGAAGTAACGGAAAAATTACTCTAATCTCTAACAAAAAGTACCTAATCTTCCTTAGAAGAGTCTAAAACATTTTGTACATTGACAAAATTCATCAAATTCCTACAAGTATATGTTGGGAGTCGTCTTATTCCTATGACAATACAATTTACAATATATTGGAGCCTTCCTCAAAGTAATTCTCAAATGATTGTAAATTTATACAATATATATGCCTACTAAAGTAAACAACCTGTTTCCAATAACTTAAGCATTCAATATATATATCCAATAGGTATAAAAATGGAAAAAATACCCTTATGTAGGAAAATAGAAATCACAAAGATTCCAAGTGTTTTCACACAATTTGGCACAAAAATGAAATTGATATAAATGTTTTAACAAAAGACTCTCTTCATCCCATTTTGGACAATATAGGCCTACCAAATTTTGACAAGTGATGGGTTACAAAACCAAGAATCTAACTTTTATAAAACCATGATGTGTAGCACCTATTAATGCAATCAAGAAAAGTGTGGCACCTATTAATGCTATCAAGAAAAGTGTGGCACCTAATTATACTATAATTCCACCCCAACTAATCAACAACTGCCACCTATTGATAGTTCACACAAACTCATTCCAATTACAATGCACTTTATTTATTGTTCACAACAATAAACTTTATTTACTGTTCATATCTTAACATCGTTTAAACCAACCCACACCCTATTTCCAATCAATAGAAATTTTCCAATCAATGCCAGACCTGGCCACCATATACAATGGAAATAGCCCACCCTATGTTGCAAATGGGAGGTGGTCGTCCACAATGGGTTGGCTACCTTGCACTACACCACTGGTAACATTACAAAAACAAAAGCATTCGCACTACACTGCTGGTAACATTACAAAAACAAAAGCATCATCAGCACAATCGCTACATACATGCTACTTACTCCACCTAGGTTTTACTCTCCCAAACTCCACACCACCTTCGACATTTCTCATCTCCATCCCGCCATCACCATGGAATGCTAAAAAAGACACTCAATCATTCATTTCATCAACATCATCATTGTCAATCTACTGCCGCTACCCCTACGCACGGAGTGGCGACCTTAGCGTGAAGACGCACATGAGCAAAATCCAGCAAACGAACATCTGCATCTCAGTTGCTCTCCGCATACACTAACAAGTCCCCTAAAACCCATCGCTCCCATGCTCTGTTTCTTGCAAACTAGCATGCATCTCTCAAGATCCGCGTTCCCACTCTTTCCAAAGCACTTTCTAGAAGCACTGTACAAGAGCATGGTTTTCGTCCCAGGCACGTGTTCGACTTCCGCTGCACGGCTTCGACTTCACGTCCACACATCACAAGCTATTTAACCACGTCACAATGCAGCATCCTGCCAAACTTAGCATGCCCAGACCCGATTCGGCACATCACGTTTTTGAGCTCAATTCATCCCTCTCACACAGACATCGCGAGTCCTTGGCCACGTTCAAATTCACAACCACCATGCATATCTAGACTCCTTACGTAAAGCCCCAGACAGTCAACAAGCACTCGAACTCAAAAACTACTGTATACCCGCACACCCACCCCCTAACACCTCGCAGCCATCCTATCGCAATGCTGGCGACCATTGCCCAGCAAGGACTCACAAAACACGCATACAGGCGCTCACCCAAGACATTCAAATCCAACCATCACATGTCACTGGTGCAGCTCAGCAGCCCTATATTTTGTAAATAGGAACCAACACATCCAAAGAGCGCCATTCAAATCAGTTCACACACACACACACACTTCCGAAAACTCAGCTACTTCGTCAACGCATGACGGTCACAACACACACAGAGTCCCAACCACACGCCATGAAACACCAGACATCCCCCCACACTACCATACCACCACAAGTGTTCAGTGAAATCAGAATTGTCACGGTCCAAAACTCATCCGAATAAAGCACCCCTTGCCGAGAAGGACGATCCGCCCGAAACTGCGCACAACAGCAGCGACACTCACCCGTACCAAAAACTGGTTCTCAAACGCGACACCACCGCCACAGTATCGGCTACGTTCGAACAATGGTCTCCATCACTCTATTAATCCAAATGTGAACATACATGACAAAATAACCATCCCCAGTCCGCTCAAATGCCACTCGCCCGAGTGCCACCACCTCTCCTTCTCTACTACACCTAGCTGCCTCCGGGCAATCGCCGTCTCCGACCGCCATTCCTCTAGGCCTTGTCCACCTTCGATGCCGCCGTCGCGGCTTGCCCACGCAGACGTCCGGTACGCCTGGCAGCAATGAGACCCACCTTCTGTCCGGGAGGAGCGTCCCGACGCACCGTACTCGCGTGACCGATGTGCTGGTGATTACCTCCTCCGTGGGGATGCTCCACGGGGTTCATGGCCACACCTCTCACCTTCGGCCAGCTGTTCCTCTTCACCTTGTACTTGTGGTATGCGTTTCCAGCCTTCAGCATCGGCTTCTCGGTCCTGCCTCCACCGGCCACTTGCCCTACCATGGCTCGGCAACCGCTCGGCACCACCTTCTTGGCTCCAGATGGCAACTTGATTCTGCGCCCACATCCACACACCATGGAATCAGAACCCTAATCCCTCCTGCGCATTCCAGCTCCCCACCCATCCCCAACTTGACCCAATCCCAACTACTCTAAACCTGGTCCCAGTGCACGCCCCGCCCAAGCGTCAACGCATCACAATTCCTCATGGCACCCATCTGCAACCTCCAATCCCACCAACAACAAAAACAAACAAACCAACAAACAAACAAAAACACTGCATGCAGACATACCTGGTGGTTCCGCTGTCCACGTTGTGCGACACCACGATGGCGTAGTCCCCGGACGCCCTGGCGAACGCGCCCCGATCCCCCATGCGGTGCTCCACGTTGCACACCACGGCTCCCTCGGGCACGGACCTCAGGGGCAACACGTTCCCGATTGAGAGAGTGGCCTTCTTCCCGCAGTACACGAATTGGCCGGAGTACATGCCCTCCGCGGCAATAAACCTCTCCTTCTGTCTTTTGAAGCGGAAGGGGTGACGGAAGGTAACCTTGCACAGGGGAGCGCCGCGACCGGAGTCGTGCACCACCTCCGACACCACACCCTTGATGTAACCATTGCGCTCGGCGTAGTCGAGCGAGCGGAACTGGGCAGGGCCCTTGCGCCGGTGGGTGTGACTCCGAAAGATAGACCCCGCTCCCTTTCTCTGTGCCCTAATAACGCGACCCATAGCAGCAGCAAGTCCGCAGACGCACAGTCCCTGCAGCAGAAGCTAGGGAGAAAGAGAGAGTCGGATTCGAGAGCCAGGACTTCTACCCCGACGCAGCCTCCAAACCCTAATTGTCCGCGACCACCCTCCTCGCTCCCTCCCATTCTCCACTGCCTGAATTCATCCGTCCGTTCCTTTGTTCGGTCGTTCCATGGTTAGTCCGTCGACGAAGCAGTGGAATCAGTCAACGGAGAACGGAGGAACACCGAACAAAGGATAGAATAAATGAAATTTACTGAGTATTTTTTTCTTTTTTTGTTTAAAATTTAGATTCCTGTCTGCATTAGGAGAAGTGCATTCTGAAGACAGCACTGACAACGAACTCTTTGCCATTATTTGGTGTTTTCCAGGGATGCATAACAATCGAGTTGGTTACTTCACATTTTTTATTGATTTACTCAACTCTTTGTACGTATCAGAATATATTAAAAAAAAATGTCTTCAGAATGCACTTCAGAATCTAAATTTTAAACAAAAAAAAAAAAAATACTCAGTAAATTTCATTTATTCTATCCTTTGTTCGGTGTTCCTCCGTTCTCCGTTGACTGATTCCACTGCTTCGTCGACGGACTAACCATGGAACGACCGAACAAAGGAACGGACGGATGAATTCAGGCAGTGGAGAATGGGAGGGAGCGAGGAGGGTGGTCGCGGACAATTAGGGTTTGGAGGCTGCGTCGGGGTAGAAGTCCTGGCTCTCGAATCCGACTCTCTCTTTCTCCCTAGCTTCTGCTGCAGGGACTGTGCGTCTGCGGACTTGCTGCTGCTATGGGTCGCGTTATTAGGGCACAGAGAAAGGGAGCGGGGTCTATCTTTCGGAGTCACACCCACCGGCGCAAGGGCCCTGCCCAGTTCCGCTCGCTCGACTACGCCGAGCGCAATGGTTACATCAAGGGTGTGGTGTCGGAGGTGGTGCACGACTCCGGTCGCGGCGCTCCCCTGTGCAAGGTTACCTTCCGTCACCCCTTCCGCTTCAAAAGACAGAAGGAGAGGTTTATTGCCGCGGAGGGCATGTACTCCGGCCAATTCGTGTACTGCGGGAAGAAGGCCACTCTCTCAATCGGGAACGTGTTGCCCCTGAGGTCCGTGCCCGAGGGAGCCGTGGTGTGCAACGTGGAGCACCGCATGGGGGATCGGGGCGCGTTCGCCAGGGCGTCCGGGGACTACGCCATCGTGGTGTCGCACAACGTGGACAGCGGAACCACCAGGTATGTCTGCATGCAGTGTTTTTGTTTGTTTGTTGGTTTGTTTGTTTTTGTTGTTGGTGGGATTGGAGGTTGCAGATGGGTGCCATGAGGAATTGTGATGCGTTGACGCTTGGGCGGGGCGTGCACTGGGACCAGGTTTAGAGTAGTTGGGATTGGGTCAAGTTGGGGATGGGTGGGGAGCTGGAATGCGCAGGAGGGATTAGGGTTCTGATTCCATGGTGTGTGGATGTGGGCGCAGAATCAAGTTGCCATCTGGAGCCAAGAAGGTGGTGCCGAGCGGTTGCCGAGCCATGGTAGGGCAAGTGGCCGGTGGAGGCAGGACCGAGAAGCCGATGCTGAAGGCTGGAAACGCATACCACAAGTACAAGGTGAAGAGGAACAGCTGGCCGAAGGTGAGAGGTGTGGCCATGAACCCCGTGGAGCATCCCCACGGAGGAGGTAATCACCAGCACATCGGTCACGCGAGTACGGTGCGTCGGGACGCTCCTCCCGGACAGAAGGTGGGTCTCATTGCTGCCAGGCGTACCGGACGTCTGCGTGGGCAAGCCGCGACGGCGGCATCGAAGGTGGACAAGGCCTAGAGGAATGGCGGTCGGAGACGGCGATTGCCCGGAGGCAGCTAGGTGTAGTAGAGAAGGAGAGGTGGTGGCACTCGGGCGAGTGGCATTTGAGCGGACTGGGGATGGTTATTTTGTCATGTATGTTCACATTTGGATTAATAGAGTGATGGAGACCATTGTTCGAACGTAGCCGATACTGTGGCGGTGGTGTCGCGTTTGAGAACCAGTTTTTGGTACGGGTGAGTGTCGCTGCTGTTGTGCGCAGTTTCGGGCGGATCGTCCTTCTCGGCAAGGGGTGCTTTATTCGGATGAGTTTTGGACCGTGACAATTCTGATTTCACTGAACACTTGTGGTGGTATGGTAGTGTGGGGGGATGTCTGGTGTTTCATGGCGTGTGGTTGGGACTCTGTGTGTGTTGTGACCGTCATGCGTTGACGAAGTAGCTGAGTTTTCGGAAGTGTGTGTGTGTGTGTGAACTGATTTGAATGGCGCTCTTTGGATGTGTTGGTTCCTATTTACAAAATATAGGGCTGCTGAGCTGCACCAGTGACATGTGATGGTTGGATTTGAATGTCTTGGGTGAGCGCCTGTATGCGTGTTTTGTGAGTCCTTGCTGGGCAATGGTCGCCAGCATTGCGATAGGATGGCTGCGAGGTGTTAGGGGGTGGGTGTGCGGGTATACAGTAGTTTTTGAGTTCGAGTGCTTGTTGACTGTCTGGGGCTTTACGTAAGGAGTCTAGATATGCATGGTGGTTGTGAATTTGAACGTGGCCAAGGACTCGCGATGTCTGTGTGAGAGGGATGAATTGAGCTCAAAAACGTGATGTGCCGAATCGGGTCTGGGCATGCTAAGTTTGGCAGGATGCTGCATTGTGACGTGGTTAAATAGCTTGTGATGTGTGGACGTGAAGTCGAAGCCGTGCAGCGGAAGTCGAACACGTGCCTGGGACGAAAACCATGCTCTTGTACAGTGCTTCTAGAAAGTGCTTTGGAAAGAGTGGGAACGCGGATCTTGAGAGATGCATGCTAGTTTGCAAGAAACAGAGCATGGGAGCGATGGGTTTTAGGGGACTTGTTAGTGTATGCGGAGAGCAACTGAGATGCAGATGTTCGTTTGCTGGATTTTGCTCATGTGCGTCTTCACGCTAAGGTCGCCACTCCGTGCGTAGGGGTAGCGGCAGTAGATTGACAATGATGATGTTGATGAAATGAATGATTGAGTGTCTTTTTTAGCATTCCATGGTGATGGCGGGATGGAGATGAGAAATGTCGAAGGTGGTGTGGAGTTTGGGAGAGTAAAACCTAGGTGGAGTAAGTAGCATGTATGTAGCGATTGTGCTGATGATGCTTTTGTTTTTGTAATGTTACCAGCAGTGTAGTGCGAATGCTTTTGTTTTTGTAATGTTACCAGTGGTGTAGTGCAAGGTAGCCAACCCATTGTGGACGACCACCTCCCATTTGCAACATAGGGTGGGCTATTTCCATTGTATATGGTGGCCAGGTCTGGCATTGATTGGAAAATTTCTATTGATTGGAAATAGGGTGTGGGTTGGTTTAAACGATGTTAAGATATGAACAGTAAATAAAGTTTATTGTTGTGAACAATAAATAAAGTGCATTGTAATTGGAATGAGTTTGTGTGAACTATCAATAGGTGGCAGTTGTTGATTAGTTGGGGTGGAATTATAGTATAATTAGGTGCCACACTTTTCTTGATAGCATTAATAGGTGCCACACTTTTCTTGATTGCATTAATAGGTGCTACACATCATGGTTTTATAAAAGTTAGATTCTTGGTTTTGTAACCCATCACTTGTCAAAATTTGGTAGGCCTATATTGTCCAAAATGGGATGAAGAGAGTCTTTTGTTAAAACATTTATATCAATTTCATTTTTGTGCCAAATTGTGTGAAAACACTTGGAATCTTTGTGATTTCTATTTTCCTACATAAGGGTATTTTTTCCATTTTTATACCTATTGGATATATATATTGAATGCTTAAGTTATTGGAAACAGGTTGTTTACTTTAGTAGGCATATATATTGTATAAATTTACAATCATTTGAGAATTACTTTGAGGAAGGCTCCAATATATTGTAAATTGTATTGTCATAGGAATAAGACGACTCCCAACATATACTTGTAGGAATTTGATGAATTTTGTCAATGTACAAAATGTTTTAGACTCTTCTAAGGAAGATTAGGTACTTTTTGTTAGAGATTAGAGTAATTTTTCCGTTACTTCTACCTATAGATAATCAATCTTTTTAGGATAAGTCAAACTTTTGTCTTATTTGTAATATTAAATTTGGATTCATTTAGTAGATTCTTACATGGTTTCTATATATCTACAATGTTATAATATTGTTTGCAATGTATAAGATGTTCTATTTTATTTTATCGATATTTTAAAATTAAAAGTTCTAATACTTCAATATCTTGATTGAGTTTTATTTCAAGAAATGATTGTAGTAAGTACCTTCTTCTTGGTATGTTTGCTATGATATGAGGCTTAAGAAAAAACAATCAAAATACATGATGGAGATTTATTGATTGTGGTTGTGACAATTGATGTGCAACTAGATTAGTATTATTTTGAATAAGAAATAATCTATTGAAGAAACATAATAAGCAAGAGATAAGTAAGTAGAAATCAGCAAGGTTAGATACAAGAAAAGTTTGGAATGGGATGCCTCTCACTTCCAACACCCTTTACTTATAGGTAGAGTTTTATATCCATTGTGGTTCAACTTCATTCTCATTCATCCTTACTTCATTCAACTAAATCCTAGATTCTACTTAACCTAGCCGCCATTATAAATCCTAGCTACTACCTTAGTAACTTTTCCAATTACTTTTTGCTGCCTTTTAACCATTAACAACTTACGATAGGTAATATCTTTTATTTGTCCAACATTTACTTTATCACTCCCACTTTGCTATTAGTTAAAGATTTCTAATCCTAATGCCTTTGTCAATTTGTAATGTCTATCCTTTACCAATGCTTTTGTAAGCAAATCAGTAAGCTTGTCTTCCGTTGCACAATACTTTATGGCAATTACTCCCATTTCAATCTTTTTTCCATATGAAGTGATGTTGAATGTCAATGTGCTTTGTCCTTGAATGATGCTTTGGATTCTTTGAAAAGGCAAGGCATCCTTGATTATCACACTTCATTGGAGTTGCTTCCAATTGCACAAGTCCAATGTCTTCTAAAACTTGTCTTAGCCATATTGCCTCTATTGCACCATGACTTACTGCCATGTACTCTGCCTCCATTGTTCGCCTTGCAATTGTT